ACGCTTCCAGTTGCTTTGACAATGACACTTCTCTTGTCTCCTTCTTTCTTTTTTCCCCTTTCAATTTGTTGAGTGAATTTCAGCAACTGCGAAATGGCAGGTTTGGAGGCCTGGTGCACCGAGCGGACCAGAAGGCCGAATCAGGACACAGGCGGGCAGAAGGGGCAAAAGCAGAGGTCTTATTCTTCCTGGCCAGAAAGGATGTCAGCATAGCCTGTCCTCCCAAAGACTGATATCCCACATTTCATAACACAGAGCATTTTATGTCATTTCACAGCCATTCAAGAAACCCATGCCAGCCCCCAACTGGCTGGAAACACTCCGGCTAAGGTCCGTGCTCCAGTTGGAGGAGGACTCCGTGGAGTGGCTTTGCCGAGTGGATCTTGCTGGCGGCGGGAAATTCAATAAACGGTCGCTGGAGTATTTGAAGGGCCAGTCCGTTCAATGGTCCCCCTTTGAGAGGGGCGCTCTGAAAGGAATGCGGTGTAGCAGTATCTGGAAGAGCCTGAGACTGGCTTAACGGGTTAATTCTGGTGGGCACAATTGAGTGAGTCCAGTGCACACAGAGGAAACCTGTGGGTGATCATTACTTCAGGGAGTGAAGCTGGCTCAGGCCATGGGTGCCAGATCTTTCCCCACATCCCTGAAAATTCCCCCTTTTAAAACTACGTCTCCTTGGTTATAGGGAATGTGTTATTCCACAATTACTGGGGTCATGAGAGGCAGGAAACAACATTTTCACAGGTAGTATCCCAGAATTACCCTTTGTTTTTCCCCCCAAATAGAATCATAGAACCATTGAATCAAAGAGTTGGAAGAGACCTCATGGGCCATCCAGTCCACCCCCATTCTGCCAAGAAGCAGGAATATTGCATTCAAATCACCCCTGACAGATGGCCATCCAACCCCTGCTTAAAAGCTTCCAAAGAAGGAGCCTCCACCACACTCCGGGGCAGAGAGTTCCACTGCTGAACGCTCTCACAGTCAGGAAGTTCTTCCTCATGTTCAGATGGAATCTCCTCTCTTGTAGTTTGAAGCCATGGTTCCATTGCCTTAGTCTCCAGGGAAGCAGAAAACAAGCTTGCTCCCTCCTCCCTGTGGCTTCCTCTCACAATGATGGATCTGGACCAACTCTTCTTCAGGCTAAACATGCCCAGCTGTTTAAGCCGCTCCTCATAGGGCTTGTTCTCCAGACCCTTGATCATTTTAGTCGCCCTCCTCTGGACACATTCCAGCTTGTCAATATCTCTCTTGAATTGTGGTGCCCAGAATTGGACACAATATTCCAGATGTGGTCTAACCAAAGCAGAATAGAGGGGTAGCATTACTTCCTTAGATCTAGACACTATGCTCCTATTGATGCAATAGTTGCCATTCATTCCTATGGAGAAATAAAGCAGTGTATTTAAGTGCAAAAACCCCAATGTCTCCTTCAGAGTTAGATTATAAGGATGGGTGGACACAGATAACCCAGTTCTTTGCCTTGGTATTCTGGGTTATGTGTCTGTGTGGAAGGGTCCTGGGTGATCTGAACTCACACTGCCCCATCTCCCAGTTCAAAGCGGATCTGGTGGGATTTCCTGCCTTGATATTCTGGGTTGTAGTGCTGCGTGGAAGGGCCTCGCCTGAAGAAATATTGTCATTCCCATCATCCAAAGCAGCCTGATCGTCAGACACAATCACAGACTACACAGGCACAGGGTCAGTCTTCTCTGTCATTCTGTTTCAAACCTAACTCTAGAGTGACGGGGGAGCCAGAGGGTTCCATCTCTCCACTCGCTACGGCTGGCTTTGTCCGGACGCGCGGTTCTCCTTGAAGAGTCACTTCTTCTCTGCAGCACCGTTTTCTCAAGCCATCGCCGCTTCCTGTCAACAAAGGCCCTCTGCAGAAACAGGACAATATGGCAGCATTGTCCTATATCTCAGTGGTGGCCCCTTGGCTAAGGAACGCCCTCCCGAGCGATACGAGATCAGCTTCTTCCCTGTTAACATTTCGGAAAAAGCTCAAGACATGGTTTTTCGAGCAAGCCTCTGCAAAGACAGAGTAGCGGATAAAGGGCAATGGAACAACCATATGATGTGACTGGACAATGCTTTAATACTGATTTCTTAAGGACTTATGTTTTACTAGCCGTCCCCTGCCACGCGTTGCTATGGCCCACATGGGGCTTCTGTGTGGGAGGTTTGGCCCAATTCCATCGTTGGTGGGGTTCAGAATGCTCTGTGTGTAGGTGAACTATAAATCCCAGCAACTACAACTCCCAATTGACAAAATCAATTTTTTTGAGTGAAGGACATACATTGGGTTGTTAGGTGTATGCTGTCCAAATTTGGGGTCAATTCCCCCAGTGGTTTTTGAGTTCTGTGAATACCACAAACAAACATGACATTTTTATTTATATAGATTGCTGTTGTTATGATTTTATGTATGCTAATGTTTTTAAATTGTACTTGTACTCTGTGGCATTGAATTTTGCCTTGAAAACCGCCTCGAGTCGCCCGAGGGCTGAGTGTTCATACAGTAAATGAATAAACAAACAAACAAACAAACAAAAAGACATACGGGCATTGGGAACATCCCTGAAAACCCCCCTTTAAAACCACTTCTCCTTCAGAGATAGAATACATGGCTGTGTGGACACAGATAACCCAGTTCTCTGCCTTGGCATTCTGGGTGGTGGGGCTGTGTGGAAGGGCCCGGGTGGATCTGGAACGAAAAAGGAAGAGTGCCTGGTTTGAGAGCAGCACGTGTGAAAAAGATCTTGGAGTCCTCGTGGACAACAAGTTAAACATGAGCCAACAATGTGATGTGGTGGCAAAAAAAGCCAATGGGATTTTGGCCTGCATCAATAGGAGCCTAGTGTCTAGATCTAGGGAAGTCATGCTCCCCATGCTCTATTCCGCTTTGGTTAGACCACACCTGGAATATTGTGTCCAATTCTGGGCACCACAATTCAAGAGAGATATTGACAAGCTGGAATGTGTCCAGAGGAGGGAGACTCAAATGATCAAGGGTCTGGAGAACAAGCCCTATGAGGAGCGGCTTAAGGAGCTGGGCATGTTTAGCCTGAAGAAGAGAAGGCTGAGAGGGGATGTGATAGCCATGTATAAGTATGTGAGAGGAAGCCACAGGGAGGAGGAGGAGGGAGCAAGCTTGTTCTCTGCTTCTCTGGAGACTAGGATGCAATGGAGCCACAAGAGAGGAGATTCCATCTGAACACGAGGAAGAACTTCCTGACTGTGAGAGCCGTTCAGCAGTGGAACTCTCTGCCCGGAGTGTGGTGGAGGCTCCTTATTTGGAAGCTTTGAAACAGAGGCTGGATGGCCATCTGTCAGGGGTGATTTGAATGCAATATTCCTGCTTCTTGGCAGAATGGGGTTGGACTGGATGGCCCAGGAGGTCTCTTCCAACTCTTGGATTCTATGTCAGCAGTGGAACTCTCTGCCCGGGAGTGTGGTGGAGGCTCCTTCTTTGGAAGCTTTTAAACAGAGGCTGGATGGCCATCTGTCAGGGGTGCTTTGAATGCAATATTCCTGCTTCTTGGCAGAATGGGGTTGGACTGGAGGATGGCCAGGAGGTCTCTTCCCACTCTAGGATTCTAGGATTCTATGAGTGGGCGGGATCCTGGGAGGGCCTGGCTGGACCCTGAAGGAGCCCTGGGGGTGGCCACGGCCGGGAGGGGGCCGCTCTGGCTCTGATAGGCCCGGAGGGAGTGTGGTGGAGGCTCCTTCTTTGGGGGCTTTGAAGCAGAGGCGGGATGGCCATCTGTGGGGGGTGCTTGGAATGCAATAGGATTCTGTAGGATTCTATGGTTCTATGAGTGGGCGGGCGGGATCCTTGGAGGGCCTGGCTGGACCCTGAAGGAGCCCCGGGGGTGGCCCCGGCCGGGAGGGGGCCGCTCTGGCCTGGCCTGGCCCAGGAGGCGACCGAGCGAAGGAACAACCACCACCACCACTCCGGGGCTGCCTGCGTGGAGGGGCCCGGGGTGCGGATCCGGCGGGTCTCCTGCCTTGGCCTTCCAGGCGGTGGGACCGCGGCTCCCCGGCCCATCCGTCTCCATAGCAACGGCGGCCATCTCTCCCCGCTGGCCCCGCCCACGGGCTCTGATAGGTCCGCCCACGACTCGCTCCGGCCAATGGGAGCCGCGGAAGCGGCGGCGGCGGCGGCGGCGCCCCGTGCGTGCCTGGTGTGTGCGCCTGAGCGCGCGCGCACTGATGACGCGATGGGGCGAGAGCTAGGCCGTGACCCTTTGCTCGGGCCTGGGCTGGACCCGGCGCCCCCCACCCAAGGGCAGGGGCAGGGGCAGGGGCCTCGGCGGCCTCGGCGGCGGAGGAGGGCTCAGGTGAGTCGGGGGGCCCGGGCCTCGTCTCCTTCGCAGGGAGCCAGAGCCCGCCTCAGCCTCTCTCCCCGAGGGGCGCCCCAGCAGCAGCAGCAGCAGCAGGCCGCCCCCGCCCCGCCCCGCCCCGCCTCGGGAGCCCCTCGGGAGAGCAGCCGAGGCCCGTCCGCTCACCCAGGCTCAGAATGCAGCGCCTTGAAGGAGAGGCTGGAGAAAGCAAGCCGTTGAGGACAGGCCTGGGCGCACTTGGGCCCTCCCTCCCTCCCTCCCTCCCTCCCTCGAAATGTGCCCAGGCCTCGCTTAGAAGCTGGGAATTCACGGTATAGCCTTCTGGAACAAGAGGCAAAGAAGACATTAAGCTTTAGGGGAAAATACCATATAAAATCCAGATTATTTTCCTTGAACAGGATTATGTGGCAGTGTGGATTCATATAATCCAGCTCCAATTAGATAATGTGGATAATCTGGATTATATGGCAGTGTAGAAGAGGCCAAGGAAATAACTGGAGGGCCCTTCCGCACAGCCATATAACCCAGGATATCAAGGCAGGAAACCCCACAATATCTGCTTTTACTGGGTCATCTGAGTCCACACTGCCATATATTCCAATTCAAAGCAGATAATGTGGGGTTTTGTTCAACTGTGTTAAATTCAAGGGCAGGGGCCGGGGCCTCGGCGGCCTTGGCGGAGGAGGAGGGCTCAGGTGAGTCGGGGGGCCCCAGGCCTCGTCTCCTTCGCAGGGCCGGGCTCGTGGAGGCCGCCTCCGCCCTACCTTGGGAGCCCTTCGGGAGAGCAGCCGAGGCCCACCCGCTCACCCAGGCTCGGAATGCAGCGCCTCGCCGGGAGCCTTGTGCGAGGAAGGAGAGGCTGCGGAAAGCAAGCCCTTGAGGACAGGCCTGTGCGCACTTGGGCCCTCCCTCCCTCCCTCCCTCGAGATGTTTTGGGCTTCAACTCCTGCAATTCCTGGGCTGTTATTATTGTAACAGGAATGATGATGTTTTATTGACTGTATGTGATTTTATGGTTGGAAACCGGTCAGAGTCCCTCAAGAGAGGTGAGAAGGTCGGCATACAGAACTTTTAAATAAATAAATAAATAACACCCGGAGGGAGGGAGGGACGAAGTTTGCCCAGGCCTAGTTTATTTTATTTATTTATTTATTTATTTGTTATTTGAACTTATATGCCGCCACTCCCCTGGGGCTCAGAGCGGCTTACAAGAACAGGCTAAAATCTAACACAATTTAAAAGCAATTTAAAACAATTTAAAAACAGCAATATCAAAGATCAAAGGCTTGTCGAAACAGGTATGTCTTCCATGCCCTGCGGAAAGCTGGTAAGTCCCGCAAGGCACGGACTTCGGGTAGCAGAGTATTCCAGAGTGATGGTGCCACTGCTGTCAAGGCTCTGCGTCTGATTGCTGTTAGGCGCAAGGTCTTGACACTGGGAAATTCCAATAGATCTGGGTCCTCAGAGCGGACCAAGGCCTTAAAGGAGAGTCCCATCCCTTTGAAAGGGATCTGGTGCTCAATGGGTAACCAATGCAGCTGCAGTCAGATTGGTGTTATGTGGCATCTCATCGAAATTCCCACAAGAAGCCGAGCAGCTGCGTTTTGTACCAACTTGAGCTTCCGGATCACCGACAGAGGAAGGCCAATGGAGAGGGCGATACAGTAGTCCAGTCTTGAGTTTAGAAGCTGAGAATTCACAGTATAGCCTTCTGGAACAAGAGGCAAATAAGAGATTAAGCTTTAGGGGAAAAGGCACCCCGTATTTAAATATGCCATATAAAGTCCAGATTATTTGCCTTGAACAGGATTATATAGCAATGTGGATTCATACAATCCAGCTCAAATTAGATAATGTGGATGATCTGATTTGATAATCTGGATTATCAAGGCAGGAAATCCCACAATATCTGCTTTAACTGGGTCATCTGAGTCCACACTGCCATATATTCCAGTTCAAAGCAGATAATGTGGGGTTTTGTTCAACTGTGTGGAAGGGGATGGGGTCTGTAGAAGATGTGCAGTAACCCCCCCCCCCCCCCCAAAAAAAAAAAGAACCTCCCAAGGGATATCATTGTCCAGTGTGTTGAGGAAAACATGAGACATTGTATTTTGGAAGTTCATCAAAATAAAAGGGTCTTGATCGAGGGAAGCCAGCAATAATACTGAATGAATCAGAATGATAGAGTTGGAAGAGACCTTGTGGGCCAGTCAGTCCAACCCCATTCAAAGCATCCCTGACAGATGGCCATCCAGCCTATGTTTGAAAGCCTCCAAAGAAGGAGCCTCCACCACACAGAAATCCCAACAAGATTCCTGTGAAAGAGAAAGGACTGTACCTCCCTGATTGAGAATGTCCATTAGCTGGGCTATGTTGATAAGAAAATAGCTCAAGTCTACAGGAGAAGCTCAGCAACTCCCAAGAAAAAGTTACAGAATGCAGTGCATCCTGCAGTGGCGTTTTGTGACAGCGCAGATGGGGCATTCTTCCTCAGAACTTGAGGAAACATAACTAGAGTAATGTTAACACAGGGATAGTGATTGTTGACAGTCCCCTATGCTCCTACGAATTATTGTGTTAATTATTATTATTATTATTATTATTATTATTATTATTAACTATTCCTGGCTCACCTTTTTGCTCTTAGGGACTCAAGGTGGCTAACAAGTAAACACGCCTAATAACAATTTAAAATAAACACATACAGAAATTGAAACAGTTAAATATTAGTGTGTGGCTATACAGTAAATTTAATTAGCATTACATTCAAATCTCACCATTCTCCCACAAATCTCACCTACAGCTTCCTCAACCCCCCATCGTAAAACCAAATAGCACCCTGACTTCCATCATCCTTATTATTATTAACTTTGTTTATATCCCGCTGTTCTCCCCGTGGAGACTCAAGCCGGCTAACAACCCCACAATGAAATAAGAATTAAAAACAAAACAAATATAAAAATAAAAACCCCAATTAAACATGTGAGTGGATAAAAAAGTTAAAATACAACAAATACAATACAAATTACTAGGCCTGGGTAACAACGGAAAAATTTGTTTCTAAAATCGATTCGTTTTTTGGGGGTTTTTGCGTTTCGTTATTTAAAATAATTACAAAATTTTCCTTTTAAAAAGTTCGATATTTACGAAATTTCGTAAATGTGAAAAAAATTACAAAACATTAACGAATCGATTTCCGAAACAATAACGAATCGATTCGTTAATGGCGGACGCGACCGCGAAATACGCTAAAAAACCTCCAAAAACTTCTGAAGCTTCCCTCTCCCTCTGTTGTTGACTGTTGGTGTGATATTATAATTTTTTTCACTAATTAAACAAAAAACTATGCCCCAGACATGCGGAAATAATAACGAAACGACCTCAGAACAATAACGAAACGAATACAATAACGAAATACGAAGTATTTACAAAACGTGTTTAAAAATTCGTTTTTTAAAAAAATTGCTCCAGAATGGTTCGTTATCGTTTTGTAATTGAAAAAAAAACGAATTATTAACGAATTACGAATTAACGAAACGAAACCACCCAGCCCTACAAATTACATTTGAAACTCACTGTCCTGCCCCCCCCCCCCCCCCCCCAAATCCCACCCACAACCTCCCCATCAGCTTGCCCCTCATTCTCCCCCAAAAGCCTGATGGCACAGAAAGGTCTTGAACTGCTTGTGGAAGGGATGGGGCCCTCCTGGTTTCTCTCTTGTGAGGAACTTCCAGAGTCTGACAGCAACCACCAAAAAGGCCCTCTCCCTTGTTCTCACCAAAGGCACTCACTTGAAGGGTGCTAGGACAGAGGGATGGCCCTCCTCAGATGCTACCTGAGTTTTTCAGACACAGGTGTTCAGGCTTGTGTCTAAGAATAGCTTGTGAAACATGATAAATCCCTGGACTTTGGCTGGATTGCTAGTAGGCATTTTCGAAGCATTGTTGCACAGCTGGGTGATAGGACACATTGCTGCCTGTTGTCTTGAAAACTTTTGAGGAGTGAGAGAAATAGTGCGAGGTAGAAGGTTGTTTAATTGTATGCCGCTGCCCTTGATTGTCTATAAAATGTCATTGTGTGATGTAAGAATGACTGTGTCATCCTCCCTCCCCCCAAGAAAGTAATAGTTGCATAAAACCAGAATAAGGGAGACTGGAACTTGTTTGTGATTGTATTCCCTTTATTTCCATCCTGCCTTTCTTCCCATAAAGGACTCAAGGCGGTTAGCAGTAGCATGACACGAATCAACATTTAAAACAAGGCAAATACAAAAATTAAATAGCCATTAAATATTTCTGTCATGGATATAAAGTTAGAATACAATAAGTGCAATAGAAATTACATTTAAAGCTGACTATGGCCCAGATCCCATCCACAACTACCCAGCACCTTGCCTCGCCTTTCTTGTGAGGGGAAAGATTTTTTCCCTACACATTCACTCCTTTTCTGAGTCTTAAACAAAAGCTTTTCTTTAAGTGTCATAAAACAAGATATGATCTTCATTTGTTCAATACACAAAATAATAGGGTTCACAAAAAGACAGTCAAGTTTCATTGTGGTTAAGCACTGACATTTATTTCCTATGTGTGTGTTATTACTAGTTAACACATCACATGAAATGTTTCCACAAGTGATCATGACCAAGGCTTGTGTAATGCAACCTTTTCAGTATATCTGCCACAGATCAGGAGGAGTACGATTGCCTCTCAAACTATTTTAATTACAAAGAACTAGAAAGGCTGATATGCTGATAAATATGAAGAATTATTACATTGCTCTCATCTGTCACTAGTGATAAATCAATCTTTAGCCCTGATCGTTAGTGGTTGTTTGCTAACATGGAAGCATCTTGTCATGCTTACATCTTTTAAGTAAGTGTGCTAAAATGTATTGAATCTCAGAATAGCTGTAGTGTTGGTTCATGTGATGTGTGTCACATAATTTTATTTACTTGTATATTTACATCATACATATTTTTTGACACATTGAGAAATGTAGGAAGAGCCAAAAGTCAAGATTTTTTATTATTGCTGAAATTAAGTCTGTGATTGATGAACACCATTATAAATTTATGGCAAAAGAACCTTTAATACAGCAAGGGTGCTTTTTGCTTCCTCCGCTATTATTTTTAATTAAAGTTTTCATTTTTAATAGAAGTCTAACAACAGAAAAAGAAAGAAAAGTAATACAGAAAAATTGTGAAAGGATTAGAAAATTAAAAGTATATGTTGACTTCCAGTTATCCAAACAATTTCTGGATTGAACTGAAAGTATGAATTTTAAGTTATAAGAATCGAAGTAGCTTGGCATGCGTTTATCCATATCCACGTTTACACGTTTATGGATCTGCATTGCAGTTGATGCATACCTCAGCCTTTCAGGTAATAACTTCAAGAAGGCTTTGAAAATGTATCTTCACTGCACTTTTTGTGGGATTATGACCGGATTGTGTGATTGACAGCAGTAACTATACATAATATCGTGTATAATCATGTTTATCCTCATTTTTCTTTCTTTATTGCTTTGTGAAAGCTTGGCTTTAACGCGGATGATGTCCTAATCATGATGTGTCATGCTATAACCACAAAGACAGACTTTTCTCAGCCACCTACACTCTACTGGCAACTATATGATGGAGGGAAGTTTTGGTTGTTGCATGAAGCGGGGAAGATAATTCCAACCTGCTCAGCAGACATATGCAGGCATATCGTTCTACGCTGAGTGGCCTAAGACTGTTCAGAGGCTTAAATGGTCCAATGGGCGGCAGACAGGTTTCTCACTGGTACATCATACAGGGAGCACACAACTCCCCTGTTACAGCAGCTTCACTGACGGCCAGTCTGCTACTGAGCACAGTTCAAAGTGCTGGCTTGAGCCTACAAAGCCCACCTAAACAGTTCCAGTCCAACTTACCTGCCCAAACATGTCTCCCTCTATGAACCATCACAGAGATTAAGATCTTACGGGGAGGCATTGCTCTCGGCCCCACCTGCTTCGCAAGACAGGGCCTTTTCAGTGGTGGCTCCTCGACTCTCACCCCAGTGAGATTAGATCAGTGCCTTCCCTCCTGACCTTTAGAAAGAGAACAAAGACATGGTTATGGAACTAAGCTTTTGACTAGTAAAGTAATGCAGCACAAGAAGTAAATATGGAATATGTGTAATCAGTATCTGGAATGGCCAGTCTACGAGTTTTGGTCATGTCATTTTAATGTTTTTATAGGTGTTTTTAATTTTTATACTTCATGTTTAAATGCCCTATTATCTGATGGTCCTATTGTATTTTATGCTTAGTCATATGCTGTTAGATCTATGATTTGGTTTATGTATATAAGGCATTGAATGTTGCCATTGTTTATTGTAGACTGATTTGAGTCACCTCAGGGGTGAGAAAAGTGATATGTAAATACTGCAAATAAAATAAATAAATAAATAAATAGGATTCATATGCAATATGTCACTGACAGAATGCTTGCCGTAATGTGGTATGATGCCTTAATTGGGCGTATACTCAACCCTTATCTGGCATTTATTTGAATAAACATGAAACCCTAATTGCACTCTTTTTTCCTCCTCTGCCTCCTAGCTTCTCGGGATGTTGCAACGGTTGGAGTTGTTCCAGACATGGTTGCCGTGGTGTTGCTCTGGGAGAACGCCTTGATGAATGATTAGCACCATTCAGTGATGGGCTGTGGGACTAGCAAAGTACTCCCTGAGCCTCCCAAGGATGTCCATTTGGATCTTGTTAAAAAGGTTGAGCCGTACACTGGTTGCAAGACTGACATCTATAAGCACTTCATCAAAGGGGATGGGGATGGGATCAAATCTGCCATTCCTTCTCCTCCCTGCCACGTCAATCCCCATACGGAACAGCCAGAACCCCGTAAGAACAGAGTGGCCAAGTATCGTGCAAAATTTGATCCCAGAGTGACAGCCAAATATGACATCAAAGCCTTGATTGGTCGAGGCAGCTTTAGCAGAGTGGTTCGAGTCGAGCACAAGGCCACCAAGCAGCCATATGCAATCAAGTTGATAGAGACCAAGTACCGCGAGGGGAGAGAAGTGTGCGAGTCAGAGCTGTGTGTGCTGCGCCGTGTGCGCCACACCAACATCATCCAGCTCATTGAAGTATTTGAGACTCAGGAACGCGTCTACATGGTGATGGAATTAGCCACTGGAGGAGAATTGTTTGACCGAATCATCGCAAAGGGTTCCTTCACAGAAAGAGACGCCACTCGCGTCCTGCAGATGGTATTGGATGGGGTGAAATACTTGCATACATTGGGCATCACTCACAGGGACTTGAAACCAGAGAACTTGCTCTATTACCACCCAGGCATGGATTCTAAAATAATGATTACAGACTTTGGGCTGGCAAGTGCCCGGAAGAAGGGAGACGACTGTTTGATGAAGACAACCTGCGGGACGCCAGAATATATTGCGCCAGAGATCTTGGTCAGAAAGCCGTACACTAACTCTGTGGACATGTGGGCGCTGGGTGTGATCTCATACATACTTCTCAGTGGGACAATGCCTTTTGAGGATGACAATCGCACCCGCTTATACCGGCAAATTCTGAAAGGAAAGTACAGTTACTCAGGAGAGGTAAGCATGCCAAACAATCGGTAAGAAAGTGTGTATTGTGACAACTTTGTGTTGGCCTTAAACCTCTGGCCTTTGCAGAAGGCCTCCCCCATCATCCTGGATTCTGAAAAATAGCTGTTAATTTGAATGTGGTATAGCTTTTGTTTCGAAGCTAGAAACACTCTTTGTGAGAAAAAAAGAAATGATGGTTACCAGTTTTGTTTAAGCAGAGATAACAAATAATTCCTGACCAATGGGAATCTCTTTCCTTGCTCCTGGGAAGTGAGAGTCCTAAACATGGGAAGTCCTGGAAAAAAGCTGGAAAAATTGGGGGGGGGGGGGACAGTTTCCCATCCCCCCCCCATTTTCCCCTATTTTTTCTGATTTTTTCATCTCTCTCTCCCCCCACCCCAGCCCAATTTTCTGTTTTTTTTTTCAGGCCTTCCCATCTCTAGGGAGGTCAAGCTTTTAATTTGTTCAGAATCGTTTTTAGAAGTCCCAAACACAGGGGTGCACGAACGTTTTAAACAGAGGGCCAGGTCATAGTCCCTCAAAGTGTTGGAGGGCCGGATTATAATTTGAAAAAAACCCATGAATTAATTCCTATGCACATTGCACGTGTCTTATTTGTAGTGCAAAAAACACTTTAGAACAATACAATAATTAAAATGAAGAACAATTTTAACAAATATAAACATTAGTATTTCAGTGGGAAGTGTGGGCCTGCTTTTGGCCGATGAGATAGGATTGTTGTTGTTGTTGTTGTTGTTGTTGTTGTTGTTGTTGTTGTGTGCTTTCAAGTCATTTCAGACTTAAGTTGACCCTGAGCGAGGGCCGGGTAAATGACCTTGGAGGGCCATATTCGGCCCCCGAGCCATAGTTTGAGGACCCCTGCTCTAACATATGTCTTGATGGACTTTTATTTTGCTTATTTTGTTTTCAGAACTTTTCTCTTTTCAACTAAAAATATTTACACAAAGAACCCTTCAGTTGAATTAATTAATCAACTCAGTTGATGCAGAATATCATTGCTGCCAGTTTCCACACTGGCATAATTTCCAAAGTAATTTGGGGAGCCTTATTTTACTAGGGCTACTCCAACACAACAGCCACAGTTATGATAGCTGCTTGTTGAATATCATATAGTCAAGACTGATGTGCTGTGACCAAGAAGGGTTTGCCCTTGGATCCCATCCTACTAGTCCCATGCTTTAGAGCCGCGTTTCTAACGAACCTTCCTAATGCACTCCTCTGCATTTTCCACCATCCATGCTTGGGAGTTTGGGGAGCTGAAGCCCAAGACATCTTGGAAAACCAAAGGTTCCACATCCCTTTTCCAGGAGTAACAATATCTTAACTACATCAATAGTCCTACAATCTATCGCATTCAGAAAGTTGCTCTCCAAAGTGGAACTCATTTCTGCTCTTGTTTAAGTGCACCGGTGAGTCAAATAACACGTACCATTAAATGAGCAAATTTTCAGTCAGGGAGATGAGAAATGACAGTTAAATTGTTTTCTGAAAAGCAGGATATTTAATATTTTTGGCATTTAGAAATAAGAAGCTCTGGTGGCATTTCAGAAATGGATGAAGACACTTCATATGGAATTTAAGTTGTAATATTTCTGATGCTAAATCAGGATGATTTGCAGAAAAATATGTTGCCCTTCTTCAAAACTTTTAAGTTAAGAGAGTCTGTGACTGTGCAGGTCTTGAAATTTTCCCCAAATAATGTACTGTTGTTAATCTTGGTGTTCTGTGTAAGAGAAATGAAAACTGAAATTCAGTCTGACTGGCGAAGCATTCCCGTTCCCTTGAAAAGAAATGAGCTGACGCACCACCAATGCAGTGCGTGTGAGCGAGAGAGAGCTTACTCTTGGGCTTCTATTCCTGGAGGGCAGGGTCTGTTTCCAAGAGGCTATTAAGCGATCGATGGGCAAGCTAGACCGTAATAGCTCATTCGGGTCTTGCTGACCTCAACCCCTCTCATTATCATTCTTTGGCTTAGGCGTGGAATTGAGTCGATGGGGAAGGCGTGAAGGCGAAGAGCCGAGGGAGAAGGGACTTGGCAAGCACTTCTGAGGATGTCCGCTCCTTGAGGAAGGGGGGCTATCCTGCTTGTCAGCCTATCCATCAGGAAGTAATTGTGCCCCCCCCCCCCCCCCCCCCCCCCCCCCCCCCGCCCCTTCCAAACGGCCCCCTGAAACCCCTGCGTTGCTTGATCAGGGCTTTGCTAAATCAGCCAAAGAACTACATTTTACTGTGAACAATCCTGCGGGTTCTGCATTGGAAAACTTTCTGGGTTTTTGTTTTCTTGGTGATGCCAGAATGATAACGAGACACAAAGGCTTTGTGAAAATAAACTTTGTTGCTGTGAATTTCTGACTTAAGGGAAGGCTTTAAACTTCCTAAATATTGGCAGTCAAATGGAGATGGACTTACCTGTAACGTGGCATTTGTGACAGGCATGTTCTGGCAGCTCTTGGTCAATATGGATACTGGATATTTGGGGCAGTGGTTCCCAACCTTTGGGTCCTCCGGGTGTTTTGGACTTCAGCTCCCACTATTTTTAACAGCTGGAAAGCTGGCTGGGATTTCTGGGAGTTGATGTCCAAAGATTGGGAACCACTGATTGAGGGACTAGAAGTAGTACAGCAATAAAGAAACAGTGGTATGAATCAAGAATATTCTATTTTGAACCTCACGTCTGTCTCGCTTTAAACAAGCTTTATTCTGTCAACTTCAGGTAACAAAGACAGAGTTTGGAAACAGTAAGCTCTTTCAAGAAGCCACTGCTTTTTTGGATTTCAGTTTCTAGAGCAGTGGTTCTCAACCTGTGGGTCGAGAACCACTGTTCTAGAACCACTGTGGGTGTTTTGGCCTACAGCTTCCAGAAATCCTAGCCAGTTTACCAGCTGTAGGATTTCTGGGAGTTGAAGGCCAGAACATCTGGGGGCCCAGGTTGAGAATCATTGTTATGGCGCTTCCAGCCAGCCTGGCTTGGCCATAGTGCCTGAGTGGCTTTAGGAGTTGGAGTTTGCAAGAGTTGGTTCTCCAAGCTCTGGATGTGCAGGATAACAACACTGACACACTTCATAGCGTTTTGTATTCAGCCCGAAGGAGACTCAGGGTCACAGAACACAGATACGGCAAATATTCAATGCCAATTATACAGTGACAAGACAGACAATAGGTAGAGGTATATATAGATATTTTCTCATCATTTGGCAACTGAGGCTGTGCTTGGTTCTGGCCATGGGGGCGGGGGGGGGGGGGAGGAGCGGGGTGCTGTCACTCCATCTCCTTGCCAAATAGCTTTCTTTGTTCTTAATTTTTCCTCCAAAATGCCATGCCTAAAATAGCTCCTCACTTAATGCGGTTTCTATTCATCTACTCACATGGCTGTTTTCGATCTGCTAGGTTGGCAGTGAGCTGGCCTGAAGATCAGGAGCTCACCCTGACCTGGCTTCGAACTGTCAGTTGGCAAGACTTACTTCAGCTGGTGATCAACCTGCTATGCTAAAGCTGGCCCCAACATACCCTCAATAGATACCTAAAAATAAAAAAACCTTATATTTTTAGTATACTTTTGTTGGAAGCGTAGTCCTGAAGGAGCAGAAACTTTGCTTTTCCAGTGTTCCCAGTGAGTCAAGAGCACGACATTATTTGCCCAAAGCAGCGCTGAGTCTCTTTCTTCTGGCAGTCGAGTGTCACCGTGTTCTCCAATTTGGCATCACCACGTGTCTCTTTTATCTTAGCGAGCATAGAGTGGTTTCCATCCAGTATTTCCAGGAAGGGCTTAAGATTTGTGAGTCAGACTAGGGTTAAAGAACATCTAGTTCCTGGAATCACGAAGGACCAGAGCTTCCTGGAGGGCCTTGACTTAATTGCTCCTTCTCTGAAGCCAGGCCAACTCCTTGAACTTGTTGTGAAGCATGGAGCAAAGGTCACAAACTTCCTTGAGGGATCTGAAAAGGGCAAAGTAAAAATAATAGTTGGGTATTGTCTTGCTGTTTAAAATTCAATATATTTGTTCTAGCATCAAGCATGCAATATTTCTCACGGCATACATGATTTACACTGAAAGCAATATAAGTCTGCAAAACATTTGAGGACCGTCATTTTAAAAAGTGGCTGCATCATCTGATCTGATTTGATGGATGGCTGCAATCTATTGTCATTTATATTCCTTGGTTTCCCAGGGAGAATGGTTCACGAACATCACCCTCTCCTTTCTTGTTGCCTTGTGACTCACAGCAGCTTTCGCTCGGTAACAAATGCCACCTCCAGATGGTAGGAGCCTTCAAATACCTTGACGCACGATGTGGATCTTGGTGAAGACGTTGTCCTGGAACAAAAGTGCTGTGCATCATTGCGTGCTGCTTACATAAGTTTGATGTAAAATGGATCTATGCTCCATTTTAAAAGCTTTTGGAAAAGAGAATGGGGGGCCAGTTATCTCCCTTTCAATCCATAATTCCCAGAGTTGCCCTAAATCATCCATCACTAGTCAGCCCCTTGTTATCACGGGACATCTCAGAAGTAGCACCATTCATTGTAAGACCTTAATCCGGGGGTCCTCAAACTTTTTAAACAGAGGGCCAGGTCACAGTCCATCAAACTGTTGGAGGGCCAAATTATCATTTGGAAAAAAACATGAATGAACTCCTATGCACATTGCACATATCTTATTTGTAGTGCAAAGAACACTTAAAAACAATACAATAATTAAAATGAAGAACAATTTTAACAAATATAAACTTTACTTACTTACATCCTCATAGTCCGAGGATGATGGTCCTCCAAGTGTCGTATTTCAGTGGGAAGTGTGGGCCTGCTTTTGGCTGATGAGATAGCATTGTTGTTGTTGTTGTTGTTGTTGTTGTTGTTGTTGTGTGCTTTCAAGTCATTCCCAGATGGTAAAGCTGGGAGACGCCTACTCGGACCCCCGGCCTTTGACCTGTGGGGTCCCACAAGGTTCCATTCTGTCTCCCATGCTTTTTAACATCTTCATGAAACTG